ACACATGTGTCAGTTTTTATCATTCTTTTTGTGACAAGAAATCTTTCTTTTTCTCTCTCTCTCTCTCTCTCTCTCTCTCTCTCTCTCTCTCTCTGTTCTAGCCACCTCATACTTTTGGTGTTTCTTTATAAGAATTCCTCCCGAGTCTCGAACCCTCGAATGCAACCTCACGATTACTAGTCCGGTAGAATAACCACTCGACTTCCGACGCTACGAAAATATGCATGAATTCTTTTTGTTACTGCTGATGCCATCATTGCTATTGTCCCTTTGCTATATGTTCCTGTTCTTTTGTCCGGGGGTGTGCGATTGTCTTGCTGTATTATAGCTGTTGTAGCGGACACATACGCCCGATCACAAGCAGCAGATCACGAACATATTTAATAGCTGAGCACCATACCAAATGAGATACAGGCACGCCCTGGTATTATCTTTGTTTTAATGATAATTTTAATAGTTTAATCAATATGATTCTTTTTAAACACTATTTTGGTATGGTGCTCGACTATGGTGCAGATAGCACCGGTTTGAATCATTTATGGGATCTCTTTAAATATGGTGAAAATGGTTAAATGGTATATGTTTAACGTCCCTATCAACACTATTAGGCTATTTAAGAGGGGAAAACATCCACTGGTAAAGCTTTATATAAGACGCAACAAATAGGACGGTTGTCATGTTTGTCTCCATGTAAGTCTTCCCATGGCTCATAAATGCTGTGAAAAATTGTGGCCATTTTAATACCCCCCCCCCCCCTTGCCCATGCACACAAACATACAACCGTACTTAATGTGTATATGACTGGGATGTATTGGGAAATTTGAAAATCGCTGAAATAAGGTTTATTTTCTTTTGTCAGAGCGATTTACTTTCATTACTACAAATGTTTTAATCGACTTGGAGCTGATCGTTGATTTCAGTTGAGTTTAGTATAGTAAGAGTGTTATGGTGCTCATAACTACATAAGTTATATGAGCGCGCGAAACACAAGTTGGGTGCATTCACAAAACCGTTCACAGTATGGCTTGATTTTGTTCAATGGTCAAGTTAAAAGGTTAGAAATTTCACTTTTTAAACAACAGTTTATAGTTCATTAAAAAAAATTATATCTACAACTTTGAGCAAAAGCCAATGGCCTTTATAAAATCGAGAATTCTGTTGGAATCAACGACCGAGAACAGATCTTTCAATTTTGTGCATGTAAAATATTTCCTTTGGGTCTCTCCAAAGTCTATGTGACTAATGTGAAATCTGTGTCGCATCCGACACAGAAAGATTTTTTATCTCCTTGAAGGAGGTACTTATGTGTCAGGGAGGTGTATCCGATGGGCAATCGAGTAAACACACCTTCCGCTCTTCTGGAGAGGCCCGATGGTTTTCGTGGGCCTAGTTAGGGCATGACACTGGGCCATCATCATCCTCATCATCATCCTCATCATCATCATCATCATCATCATCATCATCATCAACATCATCATCATCATCATCATCATCATTATTATTATTATTATTATTATTATTATTATTATTATTATTATTATTATTATTATTATTATTATTATTGTAATCATTATTATTATTATCGTGGTTTCTTTATTAAAGTTATTATTGTTATTGTTGTTTTTGTTATGTTGTTATTGTTATTACCATTATTCTAATTATTCTAATTGTTTATTTTTAAAAATATTATTATTATCATCATCATTGTTATTATTTTTACTATTATCATCATTATTATCTAGATGTATTTACAAATTGGTGTGATAACTACTTCCTTTTACTTAATGTAAAAAAAGACGAAGGAATTAATAATAGACTTTAGAGTAAAATAAGCAACCAATTGCAGCCTCTGTTTATTAAAGATGAGGGGTGTAACAATCGATAACAAACTTGACTGGCATCCCTAAGCTGCTCTTGTATATAAAAACGTAAATCAAAGAATGTTTCATTTAAGGAAATTAAGAAGTTTCCGAACTGATTATAAGATTATGTCCCTTTTGTACCATTCTATGATTGGAAGTGTGCTATTAGTTTGTGTTTTGCTGCTGAGGTGGAAGATAAAGCTGAAAGATAAAAAAAAATTTGACAGAACCATTAAGAAAGCCAGCAAGATCCCTGGATATGATTTTACTAGAATTGATGAAATGCATAACACCACAGGTATGAAAAAGACAAAAAGCAGTAGATCTATAAACGACCCACCACACCGCCTTTCCACACAAATTGTAAGATCACACAGCGGCAGATATATACATCAAACGCAAAGAAAGAAAGATAGAAAAGAAGTTTTTATCATCTAGCATAGGACTTTGTCAGAATGAGCATAGAAGTGTGTTGCCATTTGGAGTATGTATCTGTATATCCAAAGGTCTTGTAATTGAATTCCTGCATGTGGTTGAATGATGCATCTGATGTCAATGTACATTTTTTCAGCTTTACTTCTCTTTTCATATTGAATTTTAATGAGAGTGATATATAATTTAGATTTTGTTTATGTATACCTGCATGTGTTTTTACGGTCCTGTACAGCCAATGAAAATGCCCGTCTGGGATAATAAAGTATTATTTTATCATATCATTATCAATAATATTATTATTATTATTATTATTATTATTATTATTATTATTATTATTATTATTATTATTATTATTATCATCATCATTATTATCATTATTATTATTATTGTTACTATTATTATCATTATCATTATTATTATCATTACTATTATTATTATTATTATTGTTGTTATCATTATCATTAATAGTATTATTATTTTTATCCTTATTATTATTATCACTATTATCACTACTGTTATTTTTATAAGCAGCAGCAGCAACACTGGTAGTAGTAGTAGTAGTAGTAGTAGTAGTAGTAGTAGTAGTAGTAGTAGTAGTAGTAGTAGTAGTAGTAGTAGTAGTAGTAGTAGTAGTAGTAGTAGTAGTAGTAGTAGTAGTAGTAGTAGTAGTAGTAGTAGTAGTA